TGCTGCGGTGCTGCACCCTGCTTTTCCAGGGCACCCCAGCAGCCTGTAGGGATGGGGCACTGGTCTTCTTAATTCTTTTTTCTTTTGTAAAAAATATTTTTTAATTAAACTTTTCGGGGTGAAGTTAGTAAAATTATATGGATTTCACGTGTGCAGTTCTGTAATCCATCATCTGTATATGGTGTGTGTTCGCCACGCAGTCAGTGCTCCTTCATCGCCCTTTATGGCCAGGAATCCAACCTGCAGACAGACCCCCACATCCTAATCTCCCCATTTCCTTTCAGCACCATTTCCCCCTCTGAGCCCAGCCGTATCTTGTTCTTGGTGAGTCAGGAAAGAACAGGTATCTTCAGACCCTGGGGAGAGAAGAAACATGGCAGATGGGGAAGAAAGCAGGCAGTTATTGGACTCCATGGAGGGAGACAATAGTCCTTAACAGACTGCACTGTGACAGAAATCACAGGTGCCACCAAAAACTGTGCCGCCTCCCCGCCCTTTCAGCCCTGTCTTGTCTCGTTTTGTTTCCGACCACGGTGACTCCCACAGCTGGTAGCCAGGGCGGCTGATGATACTCCAGCCTTTCCTAAACGAAATATTGTGGTTCAGTCAAAACTTACAAAGTTTAGTCTGGAACAGCTGGGCACAGAAAACTGCATGGCCAGTGGGGCAATGATCCGGAGCTGCTTACAACAGTCACTGGATTTTAACTTAATTAAAACCAGCCCCTCCCTCACCTCCCCCCTTTAATGAAATGGTACCTCAGAGGGTCATCCAGCTGAGAATATCCTCAGAGGATGCGTCTCCTAGGACCGTGGTTGACAACGAGGCCACGCATAGATGTGGCTTCTGGGCAGTGCACTGACAGGAAACCTCCAGAAAGTGCTGTCTGCATTATTTATAAGCAAAGGTTCAACCTGAAGCACTCGAACCTGTATGTGTGTGCTTTGTTTATGGAACCCCATAGGGAGGCGGTACATTAAAAGAACCACGGATCCCCAATAATTCACAACTTCTTTATGTTACTGTTTCAGTTCATCCGAAGGGAGCTCACATGCGGCAGTGGAGCTGGTCGTATAAGAATAAAAGAACTTCCCTTCTCTAAATGTGTAAATGAGATGCAGAGCCTTTAACCATCCAAATGTTATTATATTCTGTGTAAGACTGCTATTCTAGCAAATGCCCATTTCTAATTGTAAAAAGTCTCCCTACAAAGGGGATGATTAAAGCTATTGTCAGATTTTCATTGACCTGAAGGAGTGCTCTCTCTTCAGAGATTTTGTTAGAATCCCACATGATAGAAAGAAGCTTAATGTCTGCATCATTGTGGAAATCACAGGACCCACTTAGCATCCAGGACAAGGAAAAAGCTAATGGCATTGATTGCGAAATGCTATGTTCTTCTGTTTTCCCCATTTTTTTTTGTTTTTTGTTTTTTCCCCATTTTAATGATACTTTTTCAGTGTTGAGAATTATTTTGTTCAGATGTGGAGCCCAGAGCGGTACCTCATCATTCTATTCTGGGGACGAGTCCGTGCACCTCTGCGGGCGGCCCGCCTCAGCGTGCGGAGCGGGTCAGTGTGAGGCTTCCGTGCGCTGCGCTGCGTTTCACTCAGAAAGCCAGGGGCCGCCTGCACACTAGTGAGCAGACGCACGTAGTGGAAACTTAAAGACACGACACTGGACTCTTGGCTCTGCATATTTTGGATTTTTTTTTAAATGTTATTTTTTTTCAGGAAAGTTTAAGGTTCACAGCAAAACTAAGAGAAAAATACAAAGATTTTCCAGAAATGGATAATGACACGTACCCACCATCACAGTGTCACACAGAGGGGTCTCACTGCCCTAAACGTCCCATGTGCTCCCCTGTTCATCCCTCCCGCCAACTCCTGGAAACCTCTGATCTGTCCCTGTCCCCATAGTTGTGCCTTTCCCAGAATGTCACCGAGTTGGGATCACACTGTACAGCCCTCTCAGATTGGCTTCTGTCACTCGTCACATGCATGTCAGTTTCCTAAATGTCCTTCATGGCTTCAGAGCTCATTTCTTTTTAGCTGAATAATTCTCCACTGTCTGGATGGACCACAGTTTATTTACCCATCACCCATTAAAGGACATCTCGGTGGCCCCCAAGTTTTGCGATTATGACCAAAGCTGCCAAAAACTTTGTGTGCTGGTTTTTATGTGGACATCATTTTCAGTTCCTTTGGGTAAACACCAAGCAGAGTGCTTACTGGATCATATGGTAACAGGATGGTTATTCTTGTAAGAAACTGCCCACTTTCTCCCAAAGTGGCTGCACCACGAGCATCCCCACAGTGAGTGACAGTTCCTGCTCCATGTCCTCACCAGCGCTGGTGTTTGGGGACGCTTTTTAGAACCAGTTTGCATATTGTTACTGATTTCCCACCATTTAAACACTAGAGACATTTCATTTCTATCAGCCTGACCACAGGACCTGCACCAGTCGTC